TACTACAAACCACACACAGCTATACTCGGTGAAATCTGCTTCACTCCAACCCATACACAGCCATACTAGGTAAAATATGCTCTACTCAACCCATAGACAGTGATAATAGGAGAAATCTGCTCTGCTATAAACCACACACAGCCGTACTAGGTGAAATATGCTCTACTCCAACCCACACACAGCCATACTATGTGAAATCTGCTTCACTCCAACCCATACACGCCATACTAGGAGAAATCTGCTCTACTCCAATCCATACACCGCCATACTAAATAAAATCTGCTCTACTCCAATCCATACACCGCCATACTAGGTAAAATATGCTCTACTCCAACCCACACACGCCATACTAGGTAAAATATGCCCTACTCCAACCCATACACGCCATACTAGGTAAAATATGCCTTACTCCAACCCATACACCGCCATACTAGGTAAAACATGCTCTACTCCAACCCACACACGCCATACTAGGTAAAACATGTTCTACTCCAACCCATACACGCTATACTAGGTAAAATATGCTATACTCCAACCCATACACGCTATACTAGGTAACAAATGCTCTACTCCAACCCATACACGCCATACTAGGTAAAATATGCCCTAATCCAACCCATACACGCTATACTAGGTAACATATGCTCTACTCTAACCCATACACGCCATACTAGGTAAAATATGCTTTACTCCAACCCACGCACGCCATACTAGGTAAAACATGCTCTACTCCAACCCATACACGCTATACTAGGTAACATATGCTCTACTCTTACCCACACACGCCATACTACGTAAAATATGCCCTACTCCTACCCACACACGCCATACTACGTAAAATATGCTCTACTCCAACCCAAACACGCCATACTACGTAAAATATGCTCTACTCCAATCCATACACGCCATACTAGGTAAAATATGCTCTACTCCAACCCATACACCGCCATACTAGGTAAAATGTGCTATACTCCAACCCACACACCGCCATACAAGGTAAAATATGCTCTACTCCAACCCACACACCGCCATACAAGGTAAAATATGCTCTACTCCAACCCACACACCGCCATACTAGGTAAAATATGCTCTACTCCAACCCACACACCGCCATACAAGGTGAAATATGCTCTACTCCAACCCACACACCGCCATACTAGGTAAAATGTTCTATACTCCAATCCATACACAGCCATACTAGGTAAAATATGCTCTACTCCAACCCATACACAGCCATACTAGGTAAAATGTGCTATACTCCAATCCATACACGCTATACAAGGTAAAATATGCTCTACTCCAATCCATACACGCCATAGTAGGTAAAATATGCCCTACTCCTACCCACACACGCCATACTACGTAAAATATGCTCTACTCCAACCCACACACGCCATACTACGTAAAATATGCTCTACTCCAACCCACACACGCCATACAAGGTAAAATATGCCCTACTTTTGGCTTCATACATAGCCCTTTGAACTATCAGGCACGTCTACCTGTTTTACAAGAGACCTTTTAACTAAATGTTTTACTCGTGTTTTCGCGTGCTCAAATAGAGGTGCTCGGTAACCCAGCAACACAGTTATCACTCCAAAGCAGTTGCCATGGAAATTAAAGCGAATCTATTATAGGGGACGGCACGGGTAGTGCGTTTAAATGCACGCCCAACCCGGGGGTATACGATGGAAACGCTAATTCACCGTTACTTTGTAATCCCGGATAGGTAATATTTGTGTTTTGAACTGTAATGGGAGGTCTTTTATACAGCATAATGTAAAATACTTTATTTTAGCTGGAATCGATTTTCGTGAAAAGAATTTTTTGTTGTTTTTCCTTGACTTTTAAAGAGGTAAATGTAAAACGTGGCGGAAATTATTATTCTTGTAAGATTTTATTTTCACTGAATCACCCCTTCAAGGGAAATTTCGATAATAAATTCCCAGCAAAAATAACATTTTTCACAGTATAACCCCCCGGGCCCGGGCATTTTGTATAAATGACGGGGTGTCTAAGATGGGTATATATATATCGCACATATTGGCCTATGATGAGATGATAACGGCAATCGTGTGCACGATTTCCAAATTTATTACCAAAATGTTTGACAAAAAATTAAATCTTAATGATTTCCCAAAAATAATAAGATTTTAATAAGGTATATTAAATCGGAATTTGGTCTAAACTTATACTTAAAGGGCGGTAGTCGTCACGCCACGCAAGATCTATGGGTTTCATATAAGATGGCGACTTTGACTGATCAACGAGTACAAACTGAAACGTTACGAAACTTTGATTAAGTTTTTGTAGGTGATTGGAAGGTATCGAAAAAGTCACACGTCAGTGCAAGTCGCGCCCAGGTCAAACCTCATACTTGTGATCTCCATTAAAAGGGCGCATTGGATTGTGGGGAAATCAATGTTTTTCAACACAAATATCGCACATGCGCATCTCGACGACTGCCGCGCTTCATTAAAATTATACTTTTCATCTTCAAGTGGTTTATGTTGGGTCTGTATTTGGGAGTCACATCCTCAAATCAAACCTTAGTTAGTGCAACGCACTGATTCACATAGTCAACTGGCGTGTGTTCAATTTGAGTGGGGATCGATATGACTAAACGTATTCCTTGGAGGTGATATTTAGTCTCAGATTTGTAGAAAAGATTTTTTTTATTCGCTGAATAATTGTTCAAGTACACTTCCGGAGTGTACTACAGCTGAATTGATAGTACCGAACATATTCGTGTTTGGGGAAGCTGCACAAATAATAATAAAAACAATTGCTGTAAAAGTAGCTCGAATTGTTTTCAATACATCTTTTATCAGTATGAAGTTACCTAATTAGTAGTCATTTTGAGAAACCACTCAGTATGAGCATGCGTAATATAAAAAAGGACGTATTTGAACACAGTAAACCCACGCGTAGAACACACTTCACAGTAATAGACAGCGTATATTAAAGGCTGGTTTATTTGCTTTTCAATATCACAAATGGTAGGATTAGTTTATTCGTATGTAATATTACGTTTTAAAAATGCTGTTGCAATAATTTCATATATCCGGGTCCCAGGTTTATAGAATGTTTATGCTTCGACAACGGCACACGGACATCGCCCTCTAGCGCCAACTAAATAATACCTTTCATATTATCACAAACGTGCACTCACTGGCTGGTATAATATAAGTGTAAACAATCTGATGGCGGAAATGCGCGGTAATATAGAAAAAAAATATATTGACATTGTACATGTTTACTGGTTGAACATGGACATATTGAGGTTTCTCATGATCCATAATTGGCAATTTTTAATTTTTCTGAATTGTGATTCGTCTGAATTATTTAACGTTATTCGCGATGCTTCCCATGACATGTGAAAACATATAATTATTGTCGAAAAACGTTAGGGTACACTTTTTCCCGTGAATAGTGAAAAATAAGCACAGATCCATGAGCCAAACAATCTGATTTATATGTACAAACATCTGAAGAATATTTAAACTAGTATAAATTAAAAAAAATGAAAGCTGCTAATTTTAATATTACAACATGGAGTTGGTCTTGATGTTAGGTAGAGAACAGACAACTAAAATATTCAAAGTATATAGATAATTGAATATATAATTCCATACAATTATGCCTAACGTAAGATACCTTATGTAAGTGATTTTAACTGATGCATGTAAATTTTATTGAAATACAAATTATTAATAAAAGGTGTCCCAGTAATATTTCGCTATACGTTTATAGTTTTCACATTGGTATGCATGATTACAAATACATGTGACTCAGGCAAAGATTCCCCAAATCGTTTTTTCAATATTATTTATTTTTTCAATAAATCAACTCAATGCTAGCGGTATGATGATGATATATGTAATATGCAAATTAACATGCCATCCTACCTATGTATTAGGAGTATTGGTAGGTTACTTTCAATATTAAAAAAATGCATATGAATAGTCAGAAAAAGACAATAAGAATTTGTTCATTACCAATCCATTATACATGTTCAATAAGTCACATGACCAATTTGAACTCGGTGAATAATCAACACCGTTAAGAGACTGTGGTTAGAATAAACAAGTTCAGGTTAGGATTTATGCAAATTTTGATATACATGAATATGTGAGAATGTCAAAAAACACATATTCAAACAAAAACACTGTTGTTTCAATACTTCAACCAACAATAGTAAAATATTCTGCCGTGAATATATAACTTGTAGTAGCTCCATCCATTTCCAACTAAATGTTACTTGTTAAAATTTTTGAAATGCACATTTGTCATTTTTGAAGATAACCAGGGTCTATCTTTTTCATTTTTGAAATGCATTTACGAAGTACAGTTGCAAAAATAAAAAACGTACCTAAAATTCAAAACATGTCACTAAGATGGAAATAAAAAATGATTGTACTAAAGTTTATATCAGCAACCCCAATTCCAATCTAACATATGATAATGAGTTTGATATTAACGAAACTATCCCCGCCCGCGAGAGGGCGCTATAACCCACTGAAGTATTTGTAGCCTCCCAAGCACTGCTAATCAACGCAACACAATCGGGGGACGGGGTGACGAACAGAGTCCTGTGTGTTACATGATTTTTTGGCAAATTGTATCATCATATCATAACTTTGTATACAAGTTTTTTCCAGGCAGTTATAACGTAATGACAATAATTGAAGATACGTTACGGCTTTCTAAAATTGTAAATGCCCAGTTAAAAACAAACTGCCAACAATAAAAAAGTGTTACGATCAAGATGATAAAATAAAATATATAAAATAATATATAACAATCCTCTTTGAAATGTTAAGCATTTTTTAAACCCATTTTTTTGTACTCAATTATGTCAATATAACCTCCATATTTAATCACAGAACGAGTATCAAAACTTATGGCAATATAGTTGTTCTAAATAGTATTCATACATATATATATTTTAAAAGCAAATTTAATACACATAACCTAGAATTCGCGATGTGTTGCCCTTAAGCGAATAATGTCTCAATCAAATCACTTGCATCAAGTTCAAAACAAAACAATATAGTCCTCAATACAGCTGATCTTTGAGGTCAATACACAACTACATGACGTTGTTGTCAGCGCTGGTAACTAGTAGTTTCCTATCAGGCACATTCGTGTAACCACTATAATGACGTCGGTAATACCTGACTGCTACAACAATGGCAACGATGAGTAAAACCAAACCCGTGAATATCATTCCAATGATAAAAGCTGGCCTCTTCAGATCTAAAAATACAATGCAAGAGAATTTGGCATAATTTTACTAAAACAATGGTCACTAGCGGCCGGAATAACTGAAAACTCGACGTAATTTTCTGGAAGTGGAACAAAAACATAGTTTGACTTTCAGCATGATTTTAAAGCGAAATTATATTTTGAAACATCTTGCCGTTTGTTTACTCCACTTACCGAAGTCACATCGTTCGCCCGACCATCCTAGTCGACACACACATTCACCATCACTAGGTAAACATCTGTCAGCGCCTCCTCCACAATCACACCTATGTTGACAGAGATGACCCCATTCCCATTCTTCACATTGGCAGAAACCTTCATATTCGTGACACGTACTGTTTCCCTCGCAATAACATACTAAATGAATCATATACAAGAAAAAAAGTAGAAACGTCAGTATTTACCTCTGTCCTGTGGCGATAATGAAGAAATTATATTCAATTATATAATTATATTCAAACTACAAAGATAGTTAGAAACGTTTCTCGATCTGGTCCCGCAAAGCTTAAAAATAAGCGTGTACATATAAGACGTCCACACTGATAAGAGTTTCACAATGCCTTACGATATGTAATAAGATCTGAGATCAGCCATGTTGAAATATTAATTACTCACATCATGGAAGCATTCAGTGGTGTGTATTTCAGACATTATTTCATGGCTATTATATATTTTCAGCTACCAATGTCTGAAGTCAGGGGAATCTGATTTAAGAAGTTGCAGCATTTTATTCATAATGCTAGTAGGATGAGTGCTAATAATCAACACATATTAATATATGAAATGTGTCTGTTAAATGTTTATTTCAGGTGTTTCCATTAACACAGAATATTTCAAACAAGCCCCACAGCTGTTTCTTTTTGTAATGAGTCTAAATTCATGTCCCAAACGAATCAGCATCTGATGTCAGATATACACATTATGTACATTGATCTTATATATTTCCAAACATGAGTGAGAATAGCCCCATTTCGGCGAAAGTATTCAGGCTTGGAAACAGTCTAAACATGTCTTTGTGGCTAGAAACACATAGTAACAAGCCATGCATGGCACAGTCCCCGTTAGTTATCAAATTTAAGATATAAAGTTTTGCTTATAGTAATATAGCTGAAATATAAACATGTCAGTAATATGATGATTGTTTAACAATTATGAATACATGTATAATGAATATATGAAATTTGAACATAGTCAGTCAAAGCATGTCAGAGATATGGCTCTAGAAGCCCATTCATTAAAACAAAATGGCCACTAGTCAGCCATTCAGAATCCGATCTAAAAAATAAAACAAATTTTTTAAA